TCTCTCTCTCTCTCTCTCTCTCTCTCTCTCTCACACACACTCACACAAACACACACACACACATGTCCAATCAATTAGATACCATAATGTATGAAAAGTTGTTTCGTTGTAGATTTTGAACAATCCTGTTTATTGCTGGCGATAAACGAATACTTTATCGTCTAATCAAAACTTATTTTTTCTTATTAGTTACGGCGACGTTTGAATTTTTCTCAGATCATTGCAGATGCCATGTCTTTAAAGTCTGCCATATAAATAACGTTTGTAAATTTGAAACAAATGGCACAACGTACCGCTCCAAATGCAAAATGAATAAAGAATATACGTAACGAACATCAGAAAATGATTTTATTCTGCCTTATTCCCTTGTGTTCATTTCGAATATTCGAATATTCCTTTACAGTTTTCTTTCGTGCGTGCAGCCATAACTGTCGTCTCAAACCCTACTACCCCTCTCCTCTCATCTTTCGTTCACAATTTCTTTTGTCTACTGTCCCCAATCTCTTCTTTCGGCATCATTTCCTTCTTTTTCCACTGTGTTGTTGTCCACCTTAACCTCACCCTCAGTTCATTTCTTCCACGTTCCCTCCTCCTTTAACAAACTTTGTCGATAACGTTGTTTTCTTCACAACCGGCGTGAATATTGTGGCTATGACGTCTCATCGTTTTAGTAAACGTTTCACAGCACTTGCAACACAATAAAGTCTTGAAAGTGCCTAAGATCAGAGGTGTTCCAAGAGTAACAAACACAAAAAAGGAGAGACAAAGAAGCTATATGTTTGATTGGAAAGAAATAGAAAACCACCGCAGAGCGCGCGCCGACGACCCACTTGACTTCTCAGTTGCACCCACCTTTCTTGCAACCATCGATGACGTTCTTGTTGTTTTGTTTGCACTTGGTGGCTGCAATCGTAATGTTTTTGGTAACGATGTCCATAAACATAATGATATAGCTTTACGAGGAACACGGAAGTATAAAGCATAGATCTAGCTAGAATTAGATGTAATAGTGTTGATAGGGGCGTTGAACCCTCACCATTTCACCATTTTTAGATGCACAGCAGAGCAACATAAGTAAATAATAAACACGCAAATGTACATAGCTACTAGAATGAGAAAAAAGGAAATCAACAAATGGTGGTTTCATTTGGCGTATATTTGATTGTATTTAAACTTATATATATATAATTATGTAAGTCCTCTTTTAACTGGAAAGGTGGAGAACACGTAAGAAGGGAGAAGACTTGAAGGTACATTTGTTCTCTTCTCCCCCCCCCCCCCCCCCCCCCCCCTTGAGTATTGTAGAAAAATGAGGAAGCTGGATGTTCCCTAGGAACATGCAATGTTCAACACACACACACGCACAAACACACATACACACACACACCCACACACACCAAGATATATATATATATATATATATATATATATATATATATATATATATATATATATAGAGAGAGAGAGAGAGAGAGAGAGAGAGAGAGAGAGGGAGAGAGAGATACACACTTACATTATACACATACTTATAAACGCATGCGCGCTCTTAATAAACGTAAACACATACACATACACACACACTCATGCACATACACATACACTTACAAACATACACACACACATACACACATGCACATATACACACACACACACACACACACACACACACACACACACACACACACACACACACACACACACACACACATGTTTCCCCTTTCTGTTACACACAAACACTAATATACATAATACAGAGGAAGGAACTGACGATGAGGTCAACCAAATATGCAATGACTACCGTCAATGTTTGTAGACATACAGCATACATTATTCAACAAACATCTAACCCATGAGCAGACGGGGTGCTGGCTGTCGGTGTCTACTGATACAAAATTTGTCATAGCCATCATTGTGCATAATATTACCACTTGTTGAACTCTTGTTGATATAGAAAAAAAATACTTTAAAACAGGATAATATTAAATATATTCTATAAGAACAATGAGACGGAGGATTTTGTAAAAATGGGTTAAAAATTTTTTTGGGGGGATGTTTGGTTTGTTTGTTTTGTTTTGTTGTTGTTTTGTTTGTTTGTTTTGTTTTGTTTGTTTGTTTGTTTGTTTTTGTTGTTGTTGTTTTTTGTTTTGTTTTGGGGGTTTTTTGTTGTTGTTTTTTGGGGGGGATAAGGGTTATGTTCTGGAATATCGCAGAGTTCAGTGAGTCTGTTCTGAGATGAGATATACTTTTTTTTTTTTTTTAAAGTTTATCCATGGGCAATAAATCAATGCCCCAAAAATATCAGCTGAGAGAGGCTGTCAGTGTTTTAAAACTTCGATAAAATAGGGATGGTGCCCTGTTAAAGACTTAGACATTTTGTTTGAAATGAAGATTGCTATCATCTCCGCCTGTAAAGTGACCTGATAATCTTGAGTATTCTATTTTCTTCGCAATTCAACGTCCTATTACAAGCAATGTAATTCCTTTGAAAGGCTAAGCTCCTGGTTCTTAACCAAGGCACAGAACTGAGAGGAAACATCCAAGATATAGCGAATCAGCTGACCCCTTCTCGATACTTACGGGACAACATTTTTAACTAAAGACAAACTGAAACAATCTGTGTCACAGACAGTAAGTATGAGACAAAAGATTCATGTTCAACTGTTTATACACACTCGATTACGTAAGCTGTTGCCATGGAAACAGTGGCCATTTTGAAAATTGGATAGACCATTTTTTTCTCCCACATTTCTACAGTGTTTAACATTTTTTACATTCTGGAACTTGCAAATTACCATAAATAAATAGGTGCTTGCGGGTGGCTATTTTGATTTTTGATACTATACTTAGAAAGTATCCAAAATTGTTCCAAAAGTTGGGGATATGGAATTTGATCTTTAAAGAATATCTCTGGTATGAAAAAGATAATTGTAAAGAAAATTTTAAAGCAAAATGTAAAAAACTAACTAGCACACTACAAGTACAAGTACAAACCATTTCTCTAACTACGTGCCAAATTTTAAGTCTCTGTGTTAAAAAATAAAAACAAAAAATGGTGGAGAAAAAAATACGGCATATGCAAGCAAAAAAGTGATGAATAAGTGTGTTTTGAAAAAAACACACGGTTGAACATAGATAATTTATTACATGAGTTGTGGTGTAAGATCATGATTTATCCTACGAGTGAAATTGAGAATTGAGGAAAATCTGGATTGTCTTCCTTTACTTTTAGCCACGCTAATTTACAAGTTGTGCTATCCGTGTGTCTCCCTTCGCGAAACAAACCCCTAACAAAACTATCATAACGTAAATATAAGCAAAGTAATCAGAAAGTGTACGATTCAAAATTTGAAAGAAACTGCATTAATATAAATCTAGCATGTTTTTGTTAGAATAGAGATGATTTTGATTTTGATTTCAAACTTCGTAACCAAAACAAACCAAAGGCAAAGAGTTAGATTCTGTTCTCTAGATCTAGAGAGGAGCTTTGTACCATGTGGGAATCCAAATGAAAGAACTTTCTTATGAAATACATTAGGTTTGAGCAGAAGCACATTGTCTAGATCTAGATGTATAATAAAAAGCAGCACGAAATGGGTGGAGAGACTTTCGATCTAAAAGACGGCGGCCTCTGAAGACTGATTGTTTCGATAGGGAAATTGTCCGACGAGCAATTAGGTTTTCTTTTTAGATGAAACTTTTATAAACGCTCACCATGTGTTCCAAAAAGAATGGCATTCAAAGGATGGTCATATTAAAAGACAAGTTCCAGCTGGAAAAGGAGAGAGACTGATTGCACATCGTGGAAGCAGTGAAAAGGGTTTGCTAGAAAACGCAGAACTAATTTTCAAGTTAAATTCCAGTGACAGCAGGGATTATCCCAAGGAAATGAACGGCAACATATTTCGAAATAAGATTATGAAAAATATGATCTGCACTTGGCAAACCATCTTGCTTATTGATGAATAATAGTAAGTTAATACGTCATACCACAACATAGTGGAAGAAGAGGACACAATTCCAACAAGCGCAAGCAGGAAAAAGGAAATAAAAGATTGGCTCAATAAAAAGAGAACATACCATTTTCACTGTCTCGGCTTAAACCCAACTCTTTTTGCTCGTTAAGGAAAGCTGAAAGGCCAAAAGATTTCAAGTTGATAAAATTGTTGAACCGCACGGACACATTTGCCTACGGTTACCACCCTCCAACTCCCATTTAAATCCAATTGAACTCGCCTGAGCGAAGATCAAAGGCACGGTTGCATCTCAAAATACAACCTTTAAATTAAAAGGTGTCAAACAGCTGAGAGAAAATGCGATATCTCGAGGGGACAAAGTTAATTGGCAGCAATGTGAAACGCATGTAAAACGTATGGAGGACGAATATTGGGAGAAGGAAGGATTTCAGTTCATCCAACCAAGAGTTGTCATCAACTCATGTGAAGACTCCTCTAACTCGCTAACAGAATAAGGATAGACCAGCGATGAGACTACTAACTTCTTTCCACATTTTGTTCTATTTTTTGTACGCTCCTGGAATGCGCACATCTTTCCGTGTGTGGATTATAGATGCTGTAAGCATAAAATTTGATATATCAATGATAGCGAGTAATTAATTAACCAGTCACTGATTAGCTACCTAATTTAAATTTTTATAATGTCGTTGGGGCACATAACTACCACTAGCATATGGTTAAAATCGAAAATGTGGTAGCTGAGATTTTTAGTTTCAAACGTGTTCACGAATTAAGGGACGGACTATTATAGTGTCAATAAAATCTGGACCGAATGAGGGATAGAAAAATACCAAGAGAAGAAAGTGCTCAGAATGAGTGAAAATAAGTCCCCGAGGCCCTAGACCCGACCCGCGAGCCCCCTTAGACAAGGATCAGGCAGCGGCATCTTCCTTATCACTGTGAGGTCGTCGGGAGGTTGGTCAGTGAGGCAGAGGGATGGCTGTGTCAGAGAACATGACGCCTGGGGACGGAGACACGCACAGGGTATCAAATGCATTGTCTGAACGTATCTACAGAGTTGTTTAAGACATTCAAGTCATTGTCTGGGGGTGGGAGGGGGTTTAAAACATTGCCTTGTGGCATTTTAAAACTTTAAATGAAAGAGAAAGAGAAAGAGAGAGAGAGAGAGAGAGAGAGAGAGAGAGAGAGAGAGAGAGAGAGAGCGAGAGAGAGAGAGAGTAAAACAAGAGCAAAAGAAATAAAATATATGGGGAAAAAAGCTCAATCTAGGAATTAGCATGGTTTGATAGAGGTTTTACGCCTTGAAACACCAAGCAATTACCGTGGATTAGAGTTACAAGAGAGTAACAAACATACGAATGAAAGAAGGTACCAAAGAAAGACAGTAAATAGTGATCGAAGAAGCAAACCACACCAGACCTAACACCAACCGCCCTCACTTTTGTTGACAATACAACCTCCTTGAAATAAACAACAGATCATACTTCATTCGGAAGGGGGGGTTATTAATATTTGATTTAACCCATTAAACGGACGCCATGTTCATACAAGAAATAAGGCATGCTATTTTAGGAAAGATAACGGTTTAAAAAATATTTGACAAAACAAGAAATCAAAGTGACAAATTTAACCCATCACCTGCAATGGCGGCGGTCATAATGTTGGCTACATTTCCGGCGACGAAGGCACTGATGACGAGATCAACAATATCCGGTTTGCGTCGAGGACACATGGGTATCAAAGTTCCCATACAGAATCCTATGGCTGGGAACGCTGATAAACCACACATGGCGTACGTGATGATCACCTCTGACCGCTCCTGATTTTTTTGAGAATGCACATTGATATCGATATTTGATCATCATCATCATCATCATCATCATCATCATCATCATCATCATCATCATCATCATCATCATCATCATCATCATCATTTCCACAACCACCGCTACGATCATCTACTTGAACGGTCAATTTGAAGTTGTAGTCAAGCAGGAAAATGCAGCCCGGCAATGTAAGCCAGAAATATTTCAGATATAGTATTTGATTGCAGGCCTTTTGTTCTGGGATTGTTTTTCACAGAGCTGAGGGACCGTAGATTGACGTGGATGAGAAAAGGGGGACAACCGAGGCTAATTTTTTCTGATCTACGGCTATGAATCGTCTATCACGTTTGCTTCCCTTCTATAACGTACGTTCTGACCTTGTGGTATGGTATGTTGTGAAATTGACGAAAATAGAGAGGTGATCAATTGATATTTAGTGACTCCTCTTTTGCTTCATGTCAGACTCAGTAAAGAATTAACAACAGAAAAAAGTGCATCTATGTACAAAAACACTGCGGTTTAAATCCCTCTAAAGACCAGGGTTGTAAAGGATGATTGAAGGAAGACTACACTTCTTACTTTTATTTAGTTTCCACAGCACGGTAGTTCTAGCATGAACGTTTGGGATACTGTGTTTTTAAAAATATATTTCTACCTCTTGAAAGATCAGACTCTAGGCAGATTCAAAAATAAATTTATGTTTTCCAGATACAGAAAAACTGCTCCTCTTTTCAGGATAGCAAAATAACCAAAACCTAATGAACATTATTTTGTTGGCTTAATTGTTTTGGTTCCTTTGTTTATTTAATCAATTTTACTGCGTTTGGTTTTATTCAATTCTTGTTTTGTTTTGTTTGTTTGTTTATTTGCTTGTCTGTTTGTTCGTTTTTATGTGTTTGTGTGTGTGTGGTTGGGGGGGAGGAGGAGCAGATTCGTTTAATTGAAAAGCAACGTATCATAAAAAGAGCGTACTCTTTTTCTATTATTCACACAAAATTGACCTACCGACATGAAGCCGCCAACCAACGTGGTGTTACTATCGTCAAGAATGACGTCAGAGCCCGTCCAATGCCACGTTCCGTTATTTGTGAATACGTGCTCCTCGAGTACACGTCGGTTCTGGGAAGAAATGGAAAGAGTATTTAAACAAACAAAATGTCATTTTGAACCAAATGCAATATGTTTCCTCTTTACGAAAGACCAAAAAGAAAAATAGTGAAAAACTACTTACAAGCTGGGTGTGTACTTGGAATTAGAACTATCATCTTTTTTCTAAACACTGTACACGTTGTCTTATGATCTCAACCGAGACTGGCGTCAGGGATGGGGAAGTCCCTCTTCTCGAGTACATCCGTCTTACTGGACAGATGTTGTATTCCAGACAGCCCGGGCAGGCTCTGACAGCAGGGTCAAAATCTCTCGCCTCTTAAAGATGCAAGTTGTGTCCATGTTTGATAAAATGTGAGTAATCTCAACTTAAGGACAAGAAAATAGTCAAGAGGCTGGAAAGCAGTAACATTCACAATTATGGTAGATAATTACTGAAGTTCAAATAATACCAACGAATACAGGGGTATTTAAAACAACGACGGCAATAAGAGAATAAAAAACGACAGCAATAACAACAACAGCAACAACAACAGCAACAACAACAGCAACAGCAACAACAACAACAACAGCAGCAGCAACAACAATAGCAACGACAACAGCAACAACAGGAGCAACAACAACTCTAACTACAACCAAGATAACAACATCTCCACCAGACCTGGAACTCACATGGATTAGTTTACCAAGGTCCACGTAGGCCACAAACGGTGTGGCAAAAAGCTTGACTCCCATCAGTGCTCCCACAGCTCCGCAGTCTGCGGGCTCCACCCCCATGGAATAGGACACTGGATACATCACGTAAGAGCACAGGTACTGTGGACACATGTATTGTAAATGGTTGATTTGTAAAATTTTAGTTACAGAAACTCAGTACTCAAAGCTCCTTTAAACAAATAATTTACAAAATTGTGTAGGTTCAACGCCCTTTTCAAAATTGCAAGGTTATGGGGTGGAAACTCCGAACTTAACATCAGTCTCCGACAGAACAGAGGCAGATGCTCGGAGAGCCTTAGAGAACCCCCCCCCCCCCCCCCCAGGTACCCATTCCCTCCAACAAAACAACCCAAGTATAAAACTCTTAAACCAAAGTCATCCGCCTCGTAGTCCACCGTGACACCAACAGAGCTAACGGCGCGTCCATTTTCATTAAATATAATTGTTAGTATGTCTTAGGCCGGTCCCAGAGTGGCTCTGTACGTCTGAACTGTAGCTCGCCTGGCGCACGCCGTGTGCGTGTCAGCACAGCCGCACTGTGGGTTGGCGCATGTCTCAGCGAGCACGACGTACATTCGCTGCGTCTCAGCACAGCCAAACTGTGTGTTGACGTGTGTAGGTGTGCAACTGACGGGTCTGCTTGCTATATTTAGGTACTGTGTAATCCAAGACCAATTATACCAAGACGGGACAACTCTTCTTTACGTCATGTGCTAAATGCAGCGCCCCCCCCCCCTCCTTTCACACACACACACACACACACACACACACACACACACACACACACACACACACACACACACACACACGCAAACACACTTGCAGCTGCGCGTGGCAATAGTTTACATTGGTAATGCAAGGCTAGATCTAGAGGCCTAGGCCTACGACAACAGTCGAAACTAGGTCAACCTCTCGATTCGAAGTTTCAAAGTATGATAAAGTGCATTTCTGGGTGATTTTGTGGCCAAGTGTTGATGCTAGCATCAATATTTAATAGTAAAGCACCTAATAATACTTGCTTCTTGTTGATTTTGATGATCTGTGAAGAGTTTCAGTCAAAAATAAACACGAAGCGAGGCGGCACAGGTCCGCCATTTTTACAACACTGTTGAATAGTACGTCTGACGCATCGCGCAGCTCAGCTGACAAAAAAACCAGACGAACAGCGACGCTGCTTAAGCACACGATAATGTATACATTCATTTGCACGGTGCGAGCCAGGCCAGCTACAGGTCAGACCTACAGAGCCACTCTGGGACCGGCCTTAGAAGACGGAGCTTGAGCACATTACATCATAACACCCAGAACCCACTGGAACAGAATCCCAGACTTATTTCTTAGTCAATGACCAGGTTCCCAATGCTCTCTGCAATTAAGTGGGACGGGATGATTTTTAAAGCATTTTATGTCAATGATAAAAAAAAACCCAACTGTGCATCAAAAGCATTGAAGAAATACACGCTATAGAGACAGATCCACAGCATCAACCTCAAGTGTTTTCCTGTCTCTGTTAGTTATCCACCTCGAGTTTAAAATATTTATGTTGTAAAAACAAATAGCTACATACCGAATCAAATTCAAGCTCAATAAGTCGAGTAATGAAGCAAGAGTTCTTCATGTATTCTTTTTCGGTTTGCCCCCCCCCCCCCCCCAGCAAAACACATGATGTTTCTAGACCAAGCATGAGATCATGTTTTGATAGGATACTCTGCACTTTCAAAAATTAGAACAAATCATGAGTCTAATAAGATGAGGAGGTCACTTGCAAAACATGCTCAATCAAGTTGGTAAAGTTAGGAGAAAAACTGTTAAGCATAGATATTATGTACCAATATTTCCAATTTGCTACCCACTGAGACTATGGGTTGTGTAGACACTTTTTATGCTGTAGTTTATGATTTTACATCTTAAATGACAGTGGTTATGGAATATAAAGTATTGACTTAGCAGGTTTTGAAAGTGGAGCCACGACTTAGCAGCTTTTGATGTTTTTTTCAAACAAGCCCTGTTGGATTCCTAGTAAAGGGGTTTGAACCAGGAGCTCTCCAGTATGTACATTTTATTGTACACTGAATACTGTTTAGACAAAAAATATAATAATGATTGAACCATTACTAATAAAAGCTATTGCAGATATCTTTTATGTACCAAGCAATCTTCAAAAGGCTGACATTTTTTACGTATTAAAAAAAACCCAGTCAGTGAAGAAAGAGAAAAAATGTGAATTTACTGGGTTTTCTTTTAAAATGAAATATATAATTATATCTTTATCACAGTATTATGTGCTTTGATCTTCACTGGTTTAACAAAAACAAACAAACACCAAAAATATTTTTTTACCCAGACTTTTTTTTACAGAACATTCTTTTCAAGTCTTTTGATGGTGACTTATTTGCATTTTTCGGCGATAACAACATAGCTCGAGTCGAGTCGGCCATATTGGACGAAAAATATAAAGCAGAAAAAAGCCCAGACGTGATGGGCTGAAAGAAAAGTATCGCGCCACGCAATTGGTTTGAGTTTCTGTTCATGATTCGGTAGGTTTTGGTAGAGTTCCGCTTTCTTTTGTTACAAAATACTTCATTATTTTGCAGGTTTTGCAGGTGAAGGTACTCGTGGAACATGCGTACGTGACCTCTCCAGGGGCTCATTTTTTTCACTTGACTCCTCAGATATTACTTATCCAATGCACACGACAAAATAGAGAGAGAAATACAACGTTATCTTATTTTGTAACACCTTTTTTATATATATTATATTATGAAAATTGCATAGTTTTACCGCTCGTTTTTGACAAACTCGAAAAGGTTAGATTTTCTAACCAAAAGTAAAACACTTAAACAAACGGGCGGTAGTGTGGTGAAACCAAGCGCTTGCCAAAATAATTAAATCGATGACACCAATTTTCCCCCGTAGGGTAATTTCCATCATTTAAAAAAACATTGCTCAACCACTTTTACGTCAATTTAAAAAAATACATTTCGTGTGGATTTTACTGGCGAAATGACGAGCGCCTTCTTCCACCTCTCACTCAGTGACACAAATGTGTTTAATGTAGACAAATAACACAACGCAAAACTCACCCCAAACGTGAGGTTTTCTATACCAGCCCGCTCGCCCAGCCAGACCAGGAGGTGATCCACAAGGTTCATGGCGGACACAAACGCCATCATATTCACCATGATGGAAGCCACCAACTTGATGGAAAAACTGGCACCGTCGGAGCACGCGTGGACGACATTCTTCTGATCTCTGTGGATACCAGGTTGTTCAGATTTACGTTTTGTCATGCACACCATGCTACCTTCGAACTGATCGTTAAACGCGTCCGCATGTATTGGTGCAGTGGATCACAAAACTTACCGGCCTTGCTGAAATTCGAGGCCTTGATCCGAATTAGATCCCAGATACGTTGTACTTTTATTGTCTTTTCTGAAGCGTTTCCTCCAGCCCAGTGCCTGCTTGGACAAATTCAACTTTTTATCAAGTAGAGTGTTATCAAATTATAATGTATTATCATAATAATTTCGCAGCTCAGAAGATGACATGCAATGCTGAAATGAGTGCTGCATTCTCCTGATTGGTGTTTAAATGTTCTATTAATCTGTTCAATTCCGAAGTAAATCAGTTTGTAACATGGTGGACTACTTAGAGGATTGCACTGGTTCGAATTCCCCCACGGGGCGTTCTGAACTTCGGTTGCTTTGGGTAGTTTTTAAGGCTCTCTGCTCATTGGGTGCGGTCCAATAATTGGTGGTGGATTTTACCTTCGGAAGTCCTGTGTTTCACATAATACTAGAGTGCTGAAAGATACATTAAACTTTACACTGACCACTGAACCGATAACACAGTCATACGGAATTTGTGATCCAATATTTTATCCCAATCAGTACCTACAAAACAAAAGGCTATTATCATCATAAAGAGGAATAGGTGCATGTTGCTATTAGCTAGGCGGACAGACGGTCTGTGACACTGACTTCGACCATCTATTCTCAAATGCATTTCGGCGTTGCCAAACCGCATAACAGATCTGATTTCTTCTTTAGCTTTTATTTGAATTTATCCACCCACCACCCCCGACACAAATACGTCTTTTTAAACACAGAACACTTTTCACAGTGGCAAGAGCAAAATAAAAAGAAGAAGGAGCTGAATGCAGTAAAGTAAATGACAGGTGCACACAGTTTCGTAGGACGTGTAATTAAGTTTTTGGGGGTGTTCAGTCAGTGCAGACGATAAGGTTTGATGTAAAGTGGGTCTAATTTTCTGTTCTGTGAGGATAGGTAACGGAGATGATTGGACGCCTGCATATGCCAGTTACACAGCGAGTGTAAACAAAGAATGGATCAATGGTCCTCAAAACCAAAGATGAAAAATTTGACAACTTGATGTCATTATGACTTAACACATCCTTTCTCTGGCCTTGCCGATTTGTGTTCACCACACATTTTGCCCTGCCTTTCCGTTATATTCAATACCTCCATGTACATGCTTACCCTACAACTGTCTAGTTCCCCCCCCCCCCCTCTCTCTCTCTCTCTCTCTCTCTCTCTCTCTCTCTCTCTCTCCCCCCCCCTCTCTCCCTCTCTCCGCCTTCCACTTTTTGCTTTAGTGTTATCCTTTCTCTGGTGTTCACCGCACTTTTTAGCAGTGCCAAAGTGGAACGGGTTAAAAACATTACTTATTTAAATACAACTGAAATAATTGGAACTTTATTCAGGAAATCTAGAGAAAACTCTATAGTTAAGCATTTTTTAACTCTAACGGACAAAAAACCGACAAAAGAATGTCCGCTTTTATGCTAATTTGATTTGTATAGGCAAACTTTGGGCTCCTACAGCAATCTTTGTTCCTCTTGAAAAGACTTAATGAACTTCTTCCATGGTTCAGCTTTGTTCAAATTATACCTTTACCAAACCTGGCCAGGGTGTGCTTTTCACGAAATAATTCAATACTTATGCCTACATCATTTAGTTCGCTACTTTCGCCATATAGCTAAGCCGCATGTCCTCCTTAAATTTTAGATCCTTGAAAGGTTGTTTGATAGCATCATTAGCTACGGATTGAATGGTTGATTGGTTGACTAAGCTCCCTAATGTACACGTAGTCGTTTGGTACCATAGGGTGTCATTTTTGTTTATTTGTTTCTTTGTGTGCAAAATTCCTGTCTTAAGAAAGGCACGTATGTCCACATGTCAGGAGTAGTGGTCTATGTTCTAAAACGTTTTTGTTCAACAAGAGAGAGAAGGACATACATTACTCTTTTGTCTTTGTTCTGTCCTGGGCACCCATCATTTAACAGTCATATGTTTTAATTTCATGTGTGAGAGAGAACTGAAATGAGATTCAGACAAGTTGCAGCTTCATTACAACCCCGACGACCAGATAATCCAAGCCAAATATATTATAGTTTTGCCATTGCTCAAGTTATGAATTCCGATATTATACATCCATAACAGCTTCATAGAGAATGTCTCCACTTGTAATCATCGCGGCAGGAAGATCTTACTGAAAGCCAAATGCGAAGCTTGCATTTTCAAATTCTTATTTTTATATATTCTCATGATGTAAATTGGGAAATCAACCCTTTTGGACTTCCTTTTACCCTTTCAGCATTATTTTGTTAGTGTCATCAGATGCTGCATTGATTGAAATATTCAACCGGTCGCATAATATAATATATAATATGTACGTGGTGACCCGAAAGAAAGATTATACAGCCAATGTTTGACAAAAGGTCTCATTGACCTATTCAGTGAACAATACATTCTTCTTTGTTGCAGTCGATGATTCATAATAATAATAATAATAATAAATAGCATTTATACTGCGCATTTCCATTTCCTAAAAGATGCTCAATGCGCATTACAATGAAAAAGACATCACATCTTAAAAATTAATCGACACAAATGTGTACGTAAAACAAAGTATTATACATATAATATAAATGCATATGTGTAAAATTTTATACCAGAAAAACAGTCTCGCAGTGAGTTTGAAAATGTGTTCACTAAAAATATACAATGCAATATAAATTCACGAACAGTCAAAATACAGTTGAAACGTGAGTAACTAGAAACATTCATTAAAACATTAATTCTATACAGATAGAAAAACATTTCCACTCTATCTATCTCTCTCTCTCTCTCTCTGTCTGTCTCTCTCTCTCTCCCTCTCTCTCTCTCCCTCTCCCTCTATCTCTCTCTCTCTTTCTCTCTCCCTCTCTCGCTATCTCTCTCTTTTCTCTCTCTTTTCTCTCTCTATCTCTCTCTTTTTCTCTCTCTCATTCTCACTCGCTATTTCTTCAGTCTCTCAGTCTGGCATACACATGCATATATATCACAGTACATCATTATGACAGGTATGCTTTTGTGAATAAAAAATGCTTCAGCTGATTTTTGAAAATGGAAATTGTTGGGGCAGATCTTATTTTATATGGGATTTCGTTCCATACCTGGGGACCAAAGAACAAAAAGGAACGCTCGCCGTATGTTTTGTAGTTTTGTTTTGGAGTTTTAAGAATTAGATTGTCAGAGGCTGATCTAAGGGCTCTAGGTGGATTATATAATTCCAGGAATGTTTTAAGATAAAAAGGTGCACTATCATTTATACATTTAAAACAGAGAACGGCAGTTTTGTATTTAATCCTTTCTTTTATTGGCAGCCAGTGTAGTTCTTTCAGAATTGGTGTTACGTGGGCTGATTTCTTTTGTTTCATTATCAATTTTGCTGCTTGATTTTGAAGTACTTGTAACTTTGATAGTTTTTCGGATGTCAAACCGGACAAAATAACATTACAGTAATCTAACTTTGATAAAATGAGTGTTGTTACAAGTGTCTTGGCTGCTGCTTTAGTTAAATAATTTCTTACACTGCCAATTTTCTTAAGCTGAAAGTAAATACTTTTGCTGAGCTGGCTTATTTGGGAGGACATAGACATATCATAATCCAACTGAACCCCTAGATTTTTAAGACTTCTTTTTGAACGAATGGTATGGTTATTAATATCTATTTGTAGCTCTGGGAGATTTTTAATGGCTTTTGTATTTCCACTCAACATTATTTCCGTCTTGTCATCATTTAGTTTCAATTTATTGCTGGTCATCCATATTTTTAAATCTCTAGTACATTGTTCAGTAGAGTCGACTAAAAGTGGTATTTGATCGAAATCAATAGACTTATAAATTTGAGTGTCATCAGCATAAAGATGGTAATTCATGCCATATTGTCTTAAAATACCAGCAATAGGTTGTGTATACATTGTAAACAAGACAGGTCCAAGAACAGACCCCTGAGGAACACCACATCTAAGCAAAACATTATTAGAACACGTGTTTCCAACCACAACTGCTTGTGTTCGATCCTTAAAATATGACTCAAACCATCGCAGGACAGTACCCTTTATGCCAAAAGTAGTATTTAATCTCTCGAGTAAAATACCATGTTCAATGGTATCGAATGCAGCCGAAAGGTCCAAAAGAGTAAGAAGACATACCTTTTTTTCATCAATATATTTTAAAATATCAGTACAGACCCTAAGTAACGCTGTCTCGGTACTATGGTGTGCCTTATATGCTGACTGATAGACTTCGCTAAGATTATTTGCTTTAATATGATGTAACAGTCTATTAGATACAACTTTTTCAAGAATTTTGGAAAGGAAAGAAAGATTTGAAACTGGTCTAAAATTTTTTAAGTCCTTTTCATCAAGTCCAGATTTTTTCAAAAGGGGTCTAATATGGGCTGTCTTAAAGCAATTTGGTACTGTGCCTGTGAGGAGAGAATCATTTACAATTTGGGTGATATGTGGAAGAAGTTCATGCAAACATCTTTTTAAAAGGCTGGTGGGCATAGGGTCTAAGGCGCAACTTTTTGATGGACTATCTAATATGATCTTTTTGATTTCTTCTTCCGTTGCTGGAGTAAAATAATCGATGACTAACCCTTTAAACTGATGGTAATTTGGGGCAATTGCGCACATTTTGTTGAGCTCTTGTCTGATGGAGGTGATTTTTCTAGAAAAAAAGTCTGAAAAACTACTACAAAGATCTCTATTGGTGCCAGGGGGTAATACAGCTCTGTTTTGGTTGCCAAGCAGTTCACTAGAGACATCAAAAAGTTCCTTACAAGTTTTAACATTTTCAAATTTTGACAAAAAGAAAGTACGCTTGGCTTTGGTAATCATTTTACTTACAGAATTCTTCATAGTAATAAATATTCCCTTATGCACTTCAAGTCGTGTTTTTCTC